TGGCCCAGTACCCTTAACTCAGTCATATTTTATCAGACTTTGAGCAAATCAGTTAATTTCTCTTTACATGATTTTCCCCACTTCTATATTAAGGAGAGTAAGCATCCTATCTTCTCTTATGAAGATAATAGTTGCAGTGGCTAAGTCCTTAACTGGAACACAAAAGAGACATGAATTCTACTTGTGGCCCTACAATTTGCTAACTTGGGTGACCCTGGGCAAGTGTCTTAACTCCCTGGTACTTCAGTTTCCTATTTGTAGAATGAGAAAGTTGGATAAGAGCTATCCAGCTGGTCTCTCCAGCTCTGTCTATAATTGCATGTGTGGATTTGTATTTTATAAGTACACGGAAGAGCTCAGTCTAAAATGCCTATTTGCCAAGTGCAAAGGGATATAAAATGTTAAGACATTCTGTTCATCTGGGACTCGACTAAGGGCTGGAAATTCATGCTTCACTATAAATCAGTGGCTGATCTCAAATAATGTTTCATTCACTAATCATTAGAATAGTCTGTAACTTCATTGAAGGCGAGGACTATGTCTCTGTCATTCATTGTGTTTCTGTGGCACCTGGCACAGAGAAGCAACTTTATGAATAGTAGTTACATAAATGAATGAATGTGACTTGTATGAACTATTAATTTTCCATCAGATTTTCACCAGTATACAGGTTCACTGAGTAGAGGAAGAAAATACTGTTTTAAAAATGCAGGCTGTGTATGGGAAGCAACTTAATGTAATGGAATGAGCTGACCTAGCAGATGAGAAACCTTGTTTTAATCTCAGCTTAGCCACATCTCTTTATGTGACCTTGGGCAAAGCCCTTAACATCCTTAGACCTTTTGCTATGATAGGTAAGGTGGGGCTACAGTACGGGATCATTAAAGATCCTTTCATATTCTGTGATATGATATTTTAAAGTCCTGTCTTTTTGGGTGTGTTGTGACTAAATACATGACCCTTTATAGGTGGAGATGATCTTAGTTCTTTGTGTTAATAGAGTTTGAATTATTTTTCCATAAGCACACATCTCGACTGTAGAGTGACTTAGAATGCTACAAAAATACTGCCCTCCTTTTCACCCACACATTTTAAGATTGATATCTCGCTCCACACCTACATTTTTATGTAGTTCATAGATTTTCTTAACTTTGTATTCCTTGCTTTTTATACTGCCTTCACTAAGAGGTTCAAACTTGCTTTTGTAAGCTGTTTTGTAACTGTACAGTAATCTCTCCTATCTCTAAACATAAGAGTCTCTGTTTTTATATACTTGGGGTCTTGAGAAGCCACATGACTTGAACCCTGGAATTAGAGTGCCATTGCCCTGTGATTTTGAGTCTTGTGTTCAGCTAACATTTCTTTTTTTTTTAAAAAAGTGTTTCATTATGTGTGCTTTATTTATTTTTAATAACTATTATTGATTGATTGATTTAAAGTAAGCTCCACTACGCCCAGTGTAGGGCTTGAACTCAATGACCCTGAGATCAAGAGTTGCATGCTCTCCCAACTGAGCCAGCCAGTGCCCACAGCTAACACTTCTTAAATCCCTTTTTAATTTTGTACATTTTCTCGAAACACATTGTATATATGTTTGGCTACCAAATTAGGATGCTTGTAGCTTTGTCCTTGATGTGAGGGCCAGTGAGGAATAGTGAATGTAGCAACAGTAACCTTAACATGAATTTCACAGCCCTTCATTTGATTCTTCTAAGTAGAATAAAAGTAATAGTTAGCCTTAAGGGAAAGACAGGAAAAAAGTTAGTTTTGTATAAGAAGATCTTACAAAGTATAGAAATCCTCTCAATCTAATAATTCTTTTGTTTGGTAAGAGATTTAAAGTGTATGATACCCCAGCAGTGTATTGTCTGAAAATAATATTCCTTTTCTCCCCAGAGGCTGAAAGTCATCAGCAAGAAACACAAGAGTTAGAAGAAAACAAAGAGAATGCACTTGATACCATAAGAAAGATGAGTGAAAAGAATCAAAGACCTTATGGTGAGAACAAAATTGGTCTTATTGCCATGTTGATTCACATTCAGAAATCTCAGAGAAAACTAGCAGATTTAAACAGTTTTAACATTGTTTTATGTTGTTTTAATTCCAGTACAGTTAACTACAGTGTTATATTAGACTCAGGTGTATAATATAGTGATTCAGCAACTCCATACATCACCCAGTGCTTATCACAGCAAGTGCACTCCTTAATCCCCATCACCTATGTAACCCATCCCCCCACCCGCTCCCCTGTGGTAATCATCAGTTTGTTCTCTATAGTTAAGAGTCTGTGATTTTGGTTTGTCTCTTTTTTTTGTCCTTGCTCATTTGTCTTGTTTCTTAAATGCCACATATGACTGAAATCATATGGTATTTGTCTCTGACTGACTTATTTCAGTTAGCATTATACTTTCTAGCTCCATCCATGTTGTTGCAAATGGCAAGATTTCCTTTTTTTTTGGCTGAATAATATTCCATTGGATATATATGCACCACATCTTTATCCATTCATCTATTGATGGACGCTTGGGCTGCTTCTATATTTTGGCTATTTTAAATAATACTGCAGTAAACATAGGGGTGCGTGTATCTGAGTTAGTGTTTTTGTATTTTTTGTGTAAATACCCAGTAGCACAATTACTGGATGGTAGGGCAGCTCTATTTTCAACTTCTTGAGGAACCTCCATACTGTTTCCAGAGTGGCTGCACCAGCTTGCATTCCCACCAACAGTGTAGGAGGGTTCCCCTTTCTCTGCATCCCCGCCAACATCTGTCATTTCCTGACTTGTTAATTTTAGCCATTCTGACAGGTGTGAGGTGGTACCTATTTGTACTTTTGATTTGCATTTCTGTGATGAATGATGTTGAGCATCTTTTCATGTGTCTGTTGGCCTTCTGGATGTCTTCTTTGGAGAAATGGCTGTTCATTTCTTCTGCCCATTTTTTATTTGATTATTTGTTTTTTGGGTGTTGATTTGTGTAAGACCTTTATAAATTTTTGATACTAACCCTTTATCAGATACGTCATTTGCAGATCTCTTCTCCCATTCAGTAGGTTGCCTTTTAGTTTTGTTGATTGTCGAAGACTAATTGACCATATAGTCATGGGTTTATTTCTGGGTTTTCTATACTGTTCCATTGATCTGTGTGGCTGTTTTAGTGCCAGTACCATACTGTTGGATCACTACCACTTTGTAATATACCTGAAAGTCTGGAATTGTAATACCTCCAGCTTTGCTTTTCTTTTTCAAAATTGCTTTGGCTATTCAGGGCCTTTTGTGGTTCCATGTATATTTTAGGATTATTCTAGTTCTGTGAAAAATACTGTTGATATTATGATAGGGATTGCATTAAATCTGTAGATTGCTTTGGGTAGTATAGCCATTTTATTTATTTTTAAAGATTTTATTTATTTGTTCATAAGAGACAGAGGCAGAGGGAGAAGCAGGCTCCCCGCTGAGCAGGGAGCCCGCTGCAGGACTCGATCCCAGGACCCTGGGATCATGACCTGAGCCGAAGGCAGACGCTTAACCATCTGAGCCACCCAGGCACCCTAGTGTAGCCATTTTAATAATATTTGTTCTTCCAATCCATGTGCATGAAATGTCTTTCCATTTCTTGGTGTCATCTTCATTTCTTTCATCAGTGTTCCTTAGTTTTTAGAGTACAGGTCTTTCACCTCTTTGGTTAGGTTTATTCCGAAGTATCTTACTATTTTTGGTGTGTAAATGGGATTGTTTTCTTGATTTTTCTTTCTGCTGCTTCATTATTAGTGTATAAAAATGCAACAGATTTCTGCACATTGATTTTGTATCCAGCAACTTTAGTGAATTCATTTATGAGTTCTAGTAGTTTTTTGGTGGTGTCTTTAGGGTTTTCTGTATAGAGTATCATGTCATCTGCAAATAGGGAACATTTTACTTTTTCCTTACCGATTTAGAAGCCTTTTGTTTCTTTTTTGTGTCTAATTACTGTGGCTTGTTTTAAAAAAATGTTTGATAATAAGTAATAGTGAAATAGAGCAATAGAGTTTTAAGGATTTTTCCTTTAGGGGTCCTGGAAGATATTTTGCCATCCTTAACAAGATGGGAATTCCCAGGAGGAAAAGCTTTTCGTGAATAAGAAACTAAAACTGCTTTTTTAAAACATTTTTTATTGTTATGTTAATGACCATACATTACATCATTAGTTTTTGATGTAGTGTTCCATGATTCATTGTTTGCGTTTAACACCCAGTGCTCCATGTAGAACGTGCCCTCTTTAATACCCATCACCCGGCTAACCCATCCCCCCACCCTCCTCCCCTCTAGAACCCTCAGTTTGTTTTTCAGAGTCCATCGTCTCTCATGGTTCGTCTTCCCCCTCCGATTTCCCCCCCTTCATTCTTCCCCTCCTGCTATCTTCTTCTTTTTTTTTTCTTAACATATATTGCATTATTTGTTTCAGAGGTACAGATCTGTGATTCAACAGTCTTGCACAATTCACAGCACTCACCATAGCACATACCCTCCCCAGTGTCTATCACCCAGCCACCCCATCCCTCCCACCCCCCACCACTCCAGCAACCCTCAGTTTGTTTCCTGAGATTAAGAATTCCTCATATCTAGGGCACCTGGGTAGCTCAGTTGGTTAAGCGACTGCCTTCGGCTCAGGTCATGAACCCGGGGTCCCGGGATCAAGTCCCGCATCGGGCTCCCTGCTCAGCGAGGAGCCTGCTTCTCCCTCTGACCCGCCCCTCCTCTCATGTACTCTCTCTCTCATTCTCGCTCTCTCAAATAAATAAATCTTTAAAAAAAAATAATTCCTCATATCTAAAACTGCTTTTTAAATGCAGAGTATTTATTAACTTCTCAAGTGGCATTTTTACATTTTGACCCTTAAGGAAAGAATGGCTTATTGTAGGTAATAGGTACTTTGAGAAGGTGGAAGACGATCCTGATAGTTCATTTCCAAATCACATCATTATAATGTTATAGCAACAAATACACAAACTCAGCTTTCACCTTTTAACAAAAATATTATATCTTCAAATAATTAAATCTAAGAAATTAGAGAATAAGTATTTCTGGTAGACCTTAATATCTCAAACTTTAAAGGATATAGGCAAAAGAAACACCACAATTAATAAAATCTGACAGTATCTCTAACTCATTTCAGTTTGCCCCAGGTTTTATTTCTGATCCACATTCTAATTTTGTGTTTTGTTTTCCCATTTTCTGACAGGCTCCATCATTTTTGGCATCCTGGTTATGGTTTTTTTGCTAAGTTGTGTTAATAGCTATTTCTCTCCAGCCCAGCAAGTGCCCAAAAATCCAGCTTTGGAGGCCTTTTTGGCTCAGTTCAGCCAATTGAAGGATAAATTCCCAGGCCAGAGTTCCTTCTTGTGGCAGAGAGGACGTAAATTTCTCCAGAGGCACCTCAATGCTTCAAACCCTACTGAGCCGGCCACCATCATATTTACAGCAGCTCAAGAGGGAAGAGAGACCCTGAAGTGCCTGAGTCACCTCGTTGCGGATGCCTACACCTCCTCCCAGAAAGTCTCCGCCATTCGGATTGATGGGGCTGGAAGAACCTTGGAGGACAGTGACACCGTCAAGCACTTGGTTGACGTGGAGCTGAGCTCAGGATTTGAGAATGGCCAGAAGGCTGCTGTGGTACACCACTTTGAATCCCTTCCTGCGGGCTCTACCTTGATCTTCTACAAGTATTGTGACCACGAGAATGCCGCCTTCAAAGATGTGGCCCTGGTCCTGACTGTTCTCCTGGAGGAGGAGACATTAGAAGCAAGTGTTGGCCCAAGGGAAACTGAGGAAAAAGTGAGAGATTTACTCTGGGCCAGGTTTACCAATTCTGACACTCCCCGCTCCTTCAACCACATGGACTCGGACAAACTGAGTGGGCTCTGGAGCCGCATTTCACACCTGGTGCTGCCCGTCCAGCCCGTGAGGAACATTGAAGAACAGGGGTGCCTTTTATAAGCTAAGCACAGAGCTGGTTTCTGAAGGCCTGGATTTATTAAAAAATCAGTTTAAAAACCTCTTTCTGTGGAAGGAGGTTGATGAAAATCCTGGAAAGCACAAATGAGCTTATTTTAGAAAAGAATTTTCATTTTTTTAACTTTTGTACTATCTTCCTAAGTTTGACAAAACTCGGGCCTTTCAAGCAAATCAGGTTTAAAATATGCATAGAACATATAACTGAAGCTTTTTTTTTAATCCAAAAATATAGCCACAGAATCATTGCATGAGAAGATAAAATCTTCTCAGAACGACTACAGAGTGATTTTTGTTTTCTTGATAAGGAGCCTTTTGGCTAGTGTTTGGACTTGGACTAGAGCAATTAGTTATGAAGCAATAGTAATTTAAAACATGTTTTTCCTATCACATATTAAATATTTTTAAAACTGATTTTAATAACTTAGTCATAGGATTACATCTTATACTAATTTGCATTTAATAGTTTGAAAAGAAATATGAATTAAAATACTTAGCTATATGTAAGGCACTGTGCTTTTATTCCATTAATGGGCTGAGGTAAAAAGCCACTGTCCTCAAGAAATGTTCTTAAAAATTGGAAACAAGGGGGAAATTGTTTATAATCATTGGAAATGAAGAAATTCCAACGACCCATATCTTTTCTTCAGCTTTCTTGAATGTTTTAGAGCAGGGGTTTTCTAAGCTGTGTCTACTGACGAGCCCCTCCTTTTTATCAGAGCAGTTCTGCTTTTGACTGCTTTATGTAGTGGGAGTCTCCATAAGATTTCATTGGAAGAAAGAGTTCCACGGATAATGAAATTTGAAAATTGCTGATTAAGTGAAAAAAAATCTTAGAAGATAAGAAATGGGTAGGAAGATAACGCATTAAAGCTTATGAGTTGGAAGAAGATGAAATACAGGTTTATTGTACAGACATGCTATTTATGAAAGATAAAGAGCTACAGATGAAAAGAAGAATGTATAAGCGAGTATTTGCTAAGCATATTTCTGATGCTATTGTTAATTTCTCTTAGTCATCATTTCTGTCTCCCCTGAATGGAATTTTATAGTTATCTAGGATGAGAGTTTGAGTGCCATTTAAGCAGAACAGAGTTTAATAACTAATTGAATAGTGGGTTTTATGTGGGTGTAGTTGCATAACTGCACTATGCTGTTCACTTGTTACACAGTGGTGGCACATTACATAATGCAGCTCATTTCTCGACTAGATGGTTAGAAATACCATTAGGTTAACAATTAAAGAAATGTAAGAGATCTTATACTTTGCAAAAGGAAGCAGACGTGGTAAATGGGTTCTAAGAGGTTTTAATGACCAATATTAGTTGTTGAGCCATGTTCTGTGATTATAAGAAAGATTGAGAACAGTGTTTATGGAGACAGTAGTTGTTGATTTGCATTGCAGCTCTGAAGGCAGAACGCTACTAAAATTATCTTGACCTAATGATAATATCTTGACCATGATGCTGGAATATTGCAACAGGGTTTTGGCCTCTCTGCTGTTGTGGGAGCAGAATATGTATGTATATAAGATATGTGTGTGTGTGTGTATATATATCTTCCTAGTGTTTCTAAAACCCTTCCATCCTTAAATCATGTGACTTCTTTCATGCTTTAAGCATTTTGACGATTAAAGCATGAAGCAAGTCACATGATTAAAACATGGAAGGATTTTTGGAAACACTAGGAAGATACAGGGATCTTTATTGATCCCTAAAGGATTACAGAGACATGGGAGAAGAGAATCTATTGGAAAATACCTGTCACAGGAAAAACATATAAATCTGTTCTAACCAGGGCCTTAAGCAGTGTTCAGTTGAGTGTAGGGACATACCTGAAAGAACTAGTTACATTTGCGACTTTGTGAAGGAATCTCTCAAATAGATTTGAGGAAAGACCTTCCTGAACAAAAAGACAAAGATACCAGTATCAATCCAATATAAAATCAGAGAAAATTGAAGAAACATTTATATACCATATTTGAATTTTTTGCTGTATTTTTAGATCTCAGGTGCCAGCTAGCGTTCTGTCACACAAAACCAATGGTGCCTTGTAGAATTGTTCTGTTGGCCAGCTGACCCGTGCTACCTCAGATCTATGAAGAACCAGTATGAAATGTGCATATCTATCTCATCTACCAGTGATTTGGATCACCGACGAAACAAAAATTTTTGTTTCTTGGTTCAGTTGAATATGGTTTTTCATCATTTCCTTCCAATATAATTTAGAAAAAGATTTTAAAGTGGCATTTTTTTTAATGTTTAGCCTTTGTTAAAAAAAAAAACCACTTTTCTTTCCATGTGTAAGTGCAATCAACTGAAATTATTGTCAGTTTTCTATCCACTATTTCAAAACTTAAAAAGAAGCAGTATATTAGCTTTGGGTCTATTCATGAATAAAATGATTATTTTTAAAGCATAAAACTTTATATTTTTTAAATGTAAAATAATTAAAATTTATTATCTAATGTCCTCTTAATTTTTATTCAGTTGTTTTGTTTTTTCAAGTTCCCAGGTTTTCTTCTGTGTATCTGGTAGTTCATCTTTCATTACTTTCTCAGTTTGTTTTTTTGACTTAGAACAGGGACTTGTGGGCATATGATACCGTACATGACACTGTACATCACAGAAAAACTCTAATTACATTCTGCATTAAGATGAATTGCTTCTTCAGTGATACCAGACTTCTAGAAGAAAGTGGTGTAGAATCAGAAACTGTCTCTGGAGTTTGGAGGTTTTTCTCCTGTGAGGTAAATTTAAGTTTCCCAGTTCGTTTTCAAGGGTTGGCAGAGAAGTTCCAGGGACTTCCTATCACTAAAGGTAGTAATGCTATTGTTTCTATTTGTATTTTTTAAATTAATAAAATAGTTTAAATGTATTTCATTTGAAAGCCTCCGAGCTTTGTGGTAAGGCTCAGCAAGCCTGTGACCTCTCATCCTCCAGCTGATGACCCCGTGGAACCTGAAGAGCTGGCCTGGGTTATGTTCCGATTACAGACACCCGAGGGGCTTGATTTCTGTGGGAGCCTGGTACCACACCAGGCAGCACATCAAAATGGGGATTGACTGTTGCCAGTTTTAAGCTGCAGCCTCAACGACTTTCTTGGGTGGACTCCCACCAGACAAGGCTATACAGGTGGTTGGAGACCAGCCTGAGTTCCATAGGTCTACAGGACCGTGGCTGCCAGAGGTCAGTTGACAGTGCGTAGGGTGCACACGTGGGCCATGCAGGTCATGGTAGGCAGGGTCATGGAGGAGGCTAAGTGTAGGGAGAGGCCAGATATCACAAATGGGCCATGGGTGTCCATGGCATTTGCCTTATTTCAAGCCCTAACCTCGACAAATATGCATACTCCCCCTGAAGGCAAAGCTGGAAGAATCTGAACGTTCTTGCCAGGGCAGGGCCAGGCAGGCTAGCTGGGAGATCCTCCACTAAGCGACGCTTGGGAACTTAGGTTCTGGATAAGCCCTGGATCCCATCAAGCAGACAGTCAAAATGAGGACTTGATGTTACCAGGTTAGAGCTGCTGGTGGGGGATGGGCCTGAACTCCACAGACCCGAGGGCTCTAGCTGCCTCGAGTTTGGCCAACAGTGTGTACTGTGCGTGTGTGGGCAGTGCAGGTCAAGGAAACCAGGGAACTTGTAACTGGCGAGTGTCAGCAGAGGCCAGGTCTAAAATGCAGGCTCTTGGGGTACCATGGCATCTGCCTAATTCTAAGTCCTAACCTACACAATCGCACATAGTTGCCCTGAAGGCAAAACTGGAGGACTCCGTACTGCCTTGCCAAGGCAGGCCCGATGGCTGGCCTAAGTATCCTCCATAAGAGATACATGGGAGCCTGGATTGCTGGAGAAACCCGAAACCACATCAGGCAGCCAGCAAATGGGGACTTTGTCCAGTATGAAGCAACCAGGTAGGAGATTTTAGGGGGCAGGGTCCCTCCACCATGGAGGCCATACAGATGGTTAGAGACCAGCAGGCGCTCCGCAGGGCTGGAGGGCCTCTGCTGCCCCAGGCAGGCTGCAGTGTATGCAAGGGCCAAGCGCAGTGCCCCGGTGATGGCTGCTCCCACAGTGGGTTGTTGAGAGCACAAGATCTCTGCCTAATTCTAAGCCTTAGTCTATGCATATGCACATATTGCCCTGAGGGCAAAGCTGGGGGAACCTGGGCTGCCTTGCCAAGGTGGGATGGGCATACTGGCTGGGATAGCCTTCGCTAAGAGACACCTGGGAGCTTTGATTGCTGTAGAAACCCAGGATACCCTTAGGCATCCAGTCCAAATGGGGACTGTCGCCAGTTTCAAGCTGTCTCCTCAGAAGGATTTCGAGGGGTGCTCCCTCTGCCCTGGAGGCTGTGTAGGTGGTCGGGAACGACTGCTGATAGGGTCTGCGCTGATTAGGGCAGCCAAAGACCTGGAACTGGGCAGTGTCGGGAGAACCAGATCTCAAGGGGGTGTTTTTGGGGATCCATGGCATCTAACAAATCTGGATAAATGTGAATATTCCCCATGAAGGCAAAGCTGGAGGAGTGTAGATGGCCTTGCCAGGGCTGGATTTCAAGGCCTGGTCAGGGTATCTTCCAATAAGAGACACCTGGGAGCCTTGATTACAGCAGAGGCCCAGGACCCCGACAGCCAGCCAGTCCACATAGCTGATGCCTCAGAGCGATCTTTAGGTGGGTTCCCTCCACCCATGAGGCCATGCAGGTGGCTAGGGATGGGCCTGAGCTCCACAGTCCCAGAGAGTTCTGGCTGCCCAAGTTTGGCTGGCAGGGCACATACTGTGCACGCGCAGTTCATAGCCATCAAGGTCGCCGGGGACCTGGCACAGCATAAGTGTAAGGATAGGCCAGGCACGGCAGCGGGCTACCATGGATCCAAGACATCTGCCTAATTCCAAACCCTAACCTACACAGATGTATATATTCCCCGCAAAGGCTGCACTGGGGATTCTGGATTGCTTTGTCAGGGCTGGTCTGTGTATCCTCCAATAAAAGACACCTGGGGGCCTTGATTGTTGCAGAAGCCTGGGACCCTAGCAGATAGTAAGTCCAAACGGGACAGGCTCACCCATTTCAGCAGCTATCTCAGAGTGCTAAATGGTGGGCGGGCTCACTCCATACCTGAAACTACATAAAAGTGGTTGGGGAGGGGCCATGTCTCCTAGAGGCCCAGGATGCCTAAGGGTGGCTGAT